TGATTAAAAATTAATATTCTGAGCATGTGCAATTTTGTTTGAAGCTCATTTAAATCACAGCATAATCATGAGAGGCATAAACAGAGTTTACTTCTGCTCTCCTATTATTAAAGACATTTACTTGGGAACAAAAAACATTTTCTTGCAGAAAGGGATAATATATTTTCCAAGTATAGATAATATAATGAGAAGTGTGCATCAGTAAGTGTGTATAAGTCTGACCAACTGTCCCTGATTACAGAATAGTTTTTAAAATAAGAAAGCCAAAACTCTATTGCTGGTTTATTCTTGCTTAAGGGAGATTACACACATTTTGAAGGCAAACACCACCATCACAAGGTGTGCAGTGGATCTTCCTTGATGCAACCACAATCTCTTTTAATAAGCAGCAGTTTGCCACCAAGATGTATGCTATTTGCTTGACACATGACCTGTTTGTCAGTTCCCCCATCACCTGTTTCTTCCTGGGTGGTCATCTGAGGGCCTTCCAAGCTGCAAGGCTATAGACCAGTTCTGAGGTTCAACTCTAGTTGGGACACTAGTATGCCATGGCTTAGTTGTGTCTGTTGTTCTTCATGGCACCCCCAAATCCATTGGCTCATCTTCCCTTCTGATGGACTCAGCCAGACCTCAGAAAGTCTATTTGAAAAGTAATAATTTACAGCCATAGATGGTTCATGACTGGACAGGTAATGCCCCCTGCAATTTTGTGAAGAGATATTGCCTCATCTGGTCCACAAACTGCCCTGATAAAGAACCAAGGCAGACAACGCTGGTGTTTGAACTGGTTATTGATAGTTATACTTTTTAAAAAACAGCTCTTTTCTGTTTCTGAGAAGTAACTACAATAGTTACATTTAGTTACTTTTAAAATACACACACATAAACCTTAATGGTGTCTTATAATACAAAATACATTCTCTAATAATGCACCAATTATACAACACAAAGTAGCAGCATAAGGTAGGCCTTGAACCAGGCAATGATCTTCAGTTGTTTAGTGAGGGCATACTCAAAAGCTGCAGAACTGATTTAAACGTTACAGAGTCACCACAAAAACTATGACATTATCTTTTGTTATTATAGTACAAAATTGGGGAAAATAATTAATAACAAGTAACAAGCTGTTTGAGACTTGATGGTTCTAAGCTCCTAGTTCAGCCTTTGTAGGAGGAAGCTTTCTTGAATGTTGGCCCAAATGAGATGAAATCGAGGATGATGTTAGGCCATTGGGGTTAGTGGTTTCTTTAAAAAATAGATAGCCCAGGCATTGACACATGAACCTTCAGAATGCAAAGCATGTGGTTCTAGTATCCCTGAATGAGTTGTGACCTCTCCCCCTTCATCTGTGGCCCCTTTCAGTTTATGAACTACATCATTCAGCAGTCATAGCAGTGCCAAATACTGTCAAATACAGAATATCCATACTCATACAACTAAGCAGACACAGACATTCAGAAAATGAAGATATTAGGTGCCCCCTGTGCACAGAATCCAAAATATCTGGTGAAGTCATTGTGACTTCATCTCCTTTGCTGACATCAAGCTCCGCTGTTCACAAGATGTACTGTGTATAGGCCAGCGGCAGACAGCTGCGGTCCTCCATACATTTTTACCTACAATTCCCATCAGCCCCTAGCCAGGTCAGTCCATTATGCGGGATAACGGAAGTTGTAGTCTAAACATCTGGAAGGCAGGTTGCTTACCCCTGCTATAGACACTTGTTTAAAATCATTCAGGGCCTACAACAGTTGGTCCCAGCTGAGCACTTGAGGGTCATGATTCCAGCTATATAAGAGTGTTCCTTTCTCTTCAGATAGTGTGCCCAAATATTAATTGCATAATATTTATACATCACAAACAACAGTTGGTCCCAGCTGAGCACTTGAGTGGCATGATTCCAGCTATATAAGAGAAGCCACTGGCAATGGTGCGGCTAAAAAAGATTGTAAATAAATAAATAAATAAATAAATAGTGTGCCCAAATATTAATTGCATAATATTTATACATCACAATTTTCCTGGTATGTAATACTGTGGCTTCTGGGAGAACATCTTGAATGACCATATGTTTTTTTTAAATCTCCCTCTCAGAGGATGATAAAGGCAAGAGAACCTCAGAGAGACCTGGTATGTAATACTGTGGCTTCTGGGAGGACATCTTGAATGACCATATGTTTTTTTTTAAATCTCCCTCTCAGAAGATGATAAAGGCAAGAGAACCTCAGAGAGGTTCAAGAGAACCTCAGAGAGGTTCTGGGTAATTCATAGCATAAATACACTTGGTCTGAGCAGTGGGGTGCTCACCCTGAAAACATTGGGTTGAGATACCCCCCCCAGCTTAGTTTATGAGCTGCCCTTCTTTCATAACCATTAGTAACTGTTATAATAAAAATGCAATGCAATCCTTTTTTGGTTGTTGTGGGTTCTTCAGGCTCTTTGGCCGTGTTCTGAAGGTTGTTCTTCCTAACGTTTTGCCAGTCTCTGTGGCTGGCATCTTCAGAGGACAGCACTGTCCTCTGAAGACAAAAAACCCACAACAACCATTAGATCCCGGCCGTGAAAGCCTTCGCGAATACATCAAGCCTTCTTTTGTTGAATTTATGTACTGAAAATCTTGTTTCAGTCTGCTTGTTCTGTTCCTATGTGAGAAGGGAACCCCCTTGGGCATAGTTATCTTGGACATAGTTATCAGTTTCAATTTCCCATATGTTTTGGATTTCAATTCCCAGAAACCTCAGCCAGCATGGCTAATAAGGGTTCTGGAGTGATAACCCAAAATATCTCAAGGACCAACAATTGACAGCCACTGATCCAGGTTCTTCCCAGTTTATAGCTCCCTAGATAGTCCTTCCCAGTTTAATGCTCCCTGGGTAATACAGTACAACAGTTCTTCATCTGAAACCCAGTATAGTTTCTAAAAATGAATTTTCTTGCTACTAAAGCCTAAAAATGTTTCTCAGGAGCTTTTGAACTCATTTCCCCAATTGTTTCATTTATTTAGAACTTTTCTTAGTGGTAAATTTATTGCTCTGGATAAACTCTAAGTTGCAATACTATAAGTTGCCTCTTTTACGACTGTAGAGGCTCTTCAGAGCAATTTAGACTTTTTTTTTCATTTTGGGTAGAAGCACCTTGCTGCTACAGAGTGAGTAATGAATATGACCTAAGATTTACAAATCCTAGCCCAGAACCTCTTATTTTCATTTTTATTGAAATGGTTGCTCTGCTTCATCTTAGTGGCTGAAGATTCCTATATTTTTTTGAAAGAGAGCAGGCCCACCTTGCTAAAACACGAAGTTGTTGATCAACATGTGTGTATAAGTGTGTGTGTCTTTTAAAAGTACATTAAAGTGTTGGATTTGGACCAAATAATATTTTGGTTCAGATTGGTGCTCTGCCTTGAGATCCACCAAATCAACTTGGCTTGCTGCTGTTCTCAGTGTAA